AGATTGTAAACCAAGTGACACCCCTATAGCTAAAGGAGACGAGTCCAGTTTAAGTCAATGCCACAAAAATGATTCGGAAACTAAAGAAATGTAGAAGATTCTTTATTCTTGAGCTATAGGGAGTCTGATGTATGCTCAAGTTTGTACGCGTCTGGATATAGCGTACATTGTTGAGATGCTAGACAGATATTTAAGTAACTCAGGAATGGATCATTGGAAAGTAGCAAAACGGGTCATGCGCTATTTACAAAGAACAAATGACTACATACGTGATACAGGAGATCAGATCAGTTGGAGATCATTGGTTATTCTGATTTCGATTTCGCTGGATGCCAAAATAGTAGGAGATNCAGGAGATCAGATCAGTTGGAGATCATTGGTTATTCTGATTTCGATTTCGGTGGATGCCAAAATAGTAGGAGATCCACTTCAGGCTATTCTACCTGCTTGCTGGAGGTAATATTTCATGGAAGAGTACTAAGCAGACACTCATAGCTACTTCCACCCTGACAGCGGAGTTTGTATCATGTTATGAGGCATCAAATCATGGAATATGGCTACGAAATTTTGTCATTGGGCTGTGCAATGTGGTCAATATAGAAAGACCACTAAAGTTATTTTGTGACAATAAATCAACAGTGCTGTATTCTAATAACAACAGGAGCTCGACGAAGTCAAAAGATATAGAGATCAAATTCATGGCTGTTAAAGAAAGAGTTCAGACTGGACAAGTGTCAATAGAGCATATCGAGACAAACTCCATGGTTGCAGATATGCTTACTAAGGGATTGATACCCAAAGTCTTTCATCATATGGGTGTAATATCTCCTGAAGATATCTAGTTTCAGTGGGAGTTTGTATTTCACTGCTCATTATTTTTTTGAATGTGCCACAAAAGTTGTCTCATTAAAAATCTTGCCAAAAAAAATCCAATGGGACAAAACCTTAGTAAGTGACAAAGAGTACAACATGTGTTTACTCTCCCTTAAAATAATATTGCTTGAATTATATGCTTTAAGCATATTAAATCTTTCAGCGTAACATTAATAGTCATGCCAGATGAATTGAGTATAGTTTATATATGCATATTAAATTTCATGCATTGTTAGACTAATAAAATAGAAACTTGTGATAACATCCACTACATAATAATTTTATCTATATACACAAATCCTTATGAATTTATTATATAAAGAGTCGTACATTTCATTACTACTTTACTTTTTTCTATATTCATTTTGCATATGTATACACATTTAAAGTGTTCAGACTATAGATCCAGAAATTTCAGATTTCTCTAGTAAATTCAATTTGCTGGGATTGCGTCCATTTGTTTGGCCAATCATTTCTTCGATCGATATACTTCAATAAATTTATTTCGACATCTTCACTATTCATAATATGATACCGTACATTATGTACAAAAATATTGTCGACACATTTTTATTTTGTCATTCTATTTCCTTTCTCATGACGACACCACTTATTGAGATATCTCAATTTTCATTATTTTAGGTACCTAGACCTTTGTTGAGGCTTTAAAACATGTTATGTCAAAATACTCATCAAGAGTATATGCCTCTTTAATATGATCATCTTTGCTAATTGCTCCATTCTCGTTTGAAATTTTTTGTATATAATCAAATATTATCATATTTCAGGCATGCCATTGAATAAAATATTAACTAATTGTCCTCTAGAACTTTAATTCGATTTGGAGCATTCAAATCTGGTGTGTGAGATATTGTTGATCTCTTTGGTCAATAAATATATCTAAATGAATTATTTTTTCGAACTTTTAGTTTGAATTATCATTTGTGAGGATTTTAGATAATGATGCATTTGTATATTATCTTCAGCTTTTTAATTATTCCCCTATTGCTGAGAGACTTGTTAAATTAAATTGACAATCAACAAAGTGCGTTATAAAATATCACATGTTTGGTATAAGAGTTCAAATTACGCACAGTGCATTATGGTGGATCAATTTTACACATACCGTACAATAAAATTAAGTAGATGATAAAATTAGGTTCAGACCATAAACTAATTATAACAAGGAGAATTATTTTGTTGGCACAATGCGTAATAACATTCCCTAAACAGAAATATAAAATACTTTGTTCTAAATTAAATTAATTGGAGTCGTCTAACAAGTAATAGTATTAAACTGTTTATCGATATCTCAACTAACGCTTATCAAAAGGTTGAGATTAAGGATCACTAGCAATAACAATACACACCATCTTGATTGTGTAATTTTAAAATTATGTTTATATTTTAAAATTTGAGCAGTAATTTCGTAAATTTCAGGTTGCGAACACCATACAATCACCTAGTAGATGTATTAAATCTATTAAATACAAATAATATCGAGGTAATCAACGTGGAGGGTGGCAGGGTCCCATATATCACCCTAATAAATTTTCAGAAATATAGAGAATTCAATATCTATTTTAGCTAGTGACAATCAATGACCAAATTTTAATAAAAAATACATCATGTATGAATTCTTTGGATGGAAGAATCTTTTAGTTCTTTGTCAAATGCTTATTTGAATTTTTAATTTTACATCATTATCGATCCAATTACGGTCTAACTGGACATATAAAAGTTATTAAACTTCTAGTTCGATACAATATTTATCAAAATGGTCATTAGAGTTCAGTATAGCATACCAATTAAAAAACACTATTAAAAACTTTGAAGGTTTCTCTTTTATTTAGGCCATGTTTGATAATGAAACTTTTCCATGGAACTTGGAATTTAAATTCAATTTCCCACCAATTGGTTTGTTTGATAGCCCTAATTTTCTTGGCAATTAATTTTCCACTTTATCCACACACGTGCACCTTTTCTACATTTTTTGATGAATTTGGTTTCCCACCATT